CTTCACCTAGACTTTTTGCCTCAATCACAGAACAAATGAAAGAGCACCTGATCTCCACACATAGATTGTGTAAATGAGTATGAGATGCGTCTTAACCTGTTATGAAGCTTTAAGGGTGTATCTCCATCCTGTGGTGATTGGTTATTCTACCCAGACTCAGTCTACCTCTGTGGCCCTACTGAAAAACAAACCTATCTCAGACATCTGCAAAGACGCCACCTGCTACACTTTTCCCCAACAGTACATGCTCATGTAGAAGAAGAAGAAGAAGAGGTTACTTACCTTGTACAGTAACTGGACTTCTTCTAGATGTTTTTTCTGATGGTTGCTCCCTTACCAGCCCTTCCTCTCTGCCTTGGAATCTTTCTTTCTGGACTTCATGGTTGAGAAAGACCTGGAGTGGCGACGGGTCTGCCTCCCCCTGTTCAGCCTCACACTGGAGCACAAGGATGTGTAGAGCACTGGTACAGGCTGGAGGGCATTGCTGATGAATATCTTCATTCACAAATACATGGTTGTGAGCACATCTGGAAGTGGAGCATCTTGAAGAACTCCAGTTACTGTAAAAAGTAAGTTGCCCCCCACCCCCAACTGCATCTTTCCACTCCCCACCCCAATCCTGGCCCTTCAGCGCAGCTCCAGGGCACACAGCCCCATCCACTTGCCCTGCCTGACAGAGTCTTTGTGAAGAGCATGTTTTGGGGGAAAGTCTGGAAGTGAGGGATTTTTTTGCAGGGGGTGGGGAAGCTGGGGCCAGGGGAGCAGCAGAGACCCAGCTGGGTTTCTGGCTTGCAGGTGGTGGGGGTAGGTGTTGCTATTTTGCAGTGGCGGGGACAGGGATCCCCCACCCCAGGGCACTGACCTTTCCCCTTCCTCCCTCCCATCTCCACTGTCCGTGCTAGAAGCCACCACACCCTCCCCATCCCTCACCAAGGTGGAGCAATATGCTTCCTGTGAGAAGCACCATAAGTAGGTGAGATATTGCATTCTGTACTAGCTGAAGTTTCAAAGTGGTCTTTAGGTATAGGGTACATTGCAATAATCTAGCGTGGAAGTGAAAAAGGCATAAATAACTAGACAAGTGTCACATTAAAAATAAAATACTATAACATTCTAGCCAAACACAGAAAAAAACATGGAAATAAATCCTGAGGCAAAAATCCAGGGGGCATTGCCACAGAGTTTAGGTTCAAGCTTAGCATGGAGCACATGAGACTTTGACTACAGAATATATGTTTAGTGAACCACCTACCCACTCATCTTTGTGTTTTCCTCACCCTTCAATGAGGCTACTAACATTATATACCCAGGATGCAATGCCGGGACACCATGGGTAGCCCTAATACAGTAGTCATTCATTTGTAGCAACATATAGGTGCCCTGTTGCTATGTTGCTCCTAAGCAGATGTTGCTGTTATGGAGAGTGTTGTCTGACCAAAGGTGTATGAAGAGTTAAGGGTGTTTCAGAAGGGGTGGGGCAGCCATGTTGTGGAGAGGGCGTTGGGGGGGAACTCCACGTTTGGGGGAAATGAAATAGGGGAATCCTGTCAGGGGAGCCCCCAGTCAACAAAACAGCTGAACGAGCCCGGCTGACAGGGACAGGCTGAGGACTGCACTGGTTTGCAACTTGTTTCTGGATGCCGTTCAAGGAATAATTAGTTTTAGCCTATTAAGTCTGGAATGGGGAGGAGGAAGGAAGGTAGAAGGTCCCACTTGGGGATGAGAAACTCTAATCAGTGAGAGGGTGAAGAAAAGAGTGTGGATGGATTTGATTGCAATGGGTGGGGTTTTTGTGTTGGGACTACTGGTTGCCACAGATGACTTTGACATAGTCCTGAGGGAACTTACCTGGAACTCAACTGTACTCTTTAGATGACTGCCTTAGAGTGGCTGAGACAGTTGAGCAATGAGGTTTAGTTTTGTGGGTTTTGTCTTTCACTTCCTGTCAAGATGGGCAGTAGGAAAGAAGACAAAATAGATCCTTTATTAAACAGAAATCAGATTTGTGGTATTTAATAAAAGTTCAGCTAGTCCCGCAGTCTTATCCAGTGTTATGCCAAGAATGGGGCTTGGATGAGGGTAAGCAGGTCGTGTCTCAGTCTAGATAAGACTAAGGTTATGCGGAGGGAACCAGCTGGAGGAATTGGAGAAAATAGCTTTTTCCTCAGTTTGTGGGGTTTGCCCAGTGTTCCTTACTCAGGTTTGAAACTTGAGAATTTTTCTGGATGCCTAGGTCGCAGCAGAGGGCCTTTCATCATAAATTCTTGGCCAGGTTGTTGAACTAGAGTGATTGACAGCTTGCCATATGGCATCAGTGTAATGTGCTTTACATGGGGCTACTGACCATTTTGGAAATATCCACTCGAGCAGAATACCATTTAAGGGGTGCTTCTCTGAGACAGCATGTTATATGTATGCTACACAATCTGCATATTTGACTGCTGATTTGTTTGGAGATGCAACTTTTAACTTTAAATGGATTGGGTCCTGTTACTTTTAAGATCACCTTTCTCTTCATATGATACTGTGAATAACTGAGACAATCAGTCCCCCGAGCTAACACTCCCCAGTTTAACTGCAAAGGGGCAGGGAGCAGGATATTCTTATGGTATGCACTTCAGCTAGAGAATTGTTTCCCACCTAGTTCACCAGTGTGTGAAACAGTTGTTCTTCAGGTCAGGTTGCAAGGCTCATTGCTCATTTGTTCACGTTTTTTTCCCTTAGGGTGAAGGTAGGGATAAATTATCAACTTGCGGGTAATGGAGAACTTGTTTTGTACTTCCTCTGCCCTGGGGTGCCTGCATGGGTGGATTAGTGTGGGCTAATATATTAATAATAATATAATAACATTAATAATATTTTAGCCTTATATTTATAAGAAGGCAGCCCTGCCAGGAGCCAAGCTCCTCGTACCTTTATGCTGACCTAAGTTTTGCTTTCCCTTTCACAGGTCTTCACTGGAATTTTTACAGCAGAAATGATCTTCAAAATCATCGCTCTAGATCCCTACTACTATTTTCAGCAGGGCTGGAATATTTTTGACAGCATAATTGTTATGATAGGCCCAATAAAAACATTTTTGGAAATAAACCTGACATTTTTCAGATTGGTAATGATTCCTCTTTTTTTATCTGTTTGACAAAACAATAAACACTTTGCATGATTTCAGGGGCCCACATTCCCCCAAATAATTTTATTTTTAGATAGTGAATAGCTACAATGAAAATTCTAGACTGCATCCAAGTGACCAATTAATATCTAAATTGTTTGATGAATTTGTAAACTTGACACTATGTGTTAGTATATAATAAACCAACAAGAACTATAAGTCGCGTAATCAAAAAACACATTTAAATGTTTACCAAATGGTCCATACTGGATACTACAAAACCTCTGAAGCTGTCTCTCTTGAGTATCCTAGCTCCAGAGGGCTCTGCTGCTTTGGCTCTCCACCCCTTATCATTTCTCTGCAAGGATTAGGATCAGTCTGTCATTCCAGACCTTTTCTTTTGGTGGAGGTGGGGATTTGGAGGGCCTTCCCCCTCTCTCTCCCCAAGAATATTCTTGGGATATTTATGTGAGGTTGTGGGTGAGGTTTCCTCACCAGAAATACTTAGAGTTGAGAAAGGAAAGATGGTCCAGGAGCCTCCTCATAAGATTGCTCCTAGTTTAGAGCAAGGAAAAATAGGCTCTGGTAACCCTATATAAAAATGTCACTCTTATTCAGCACATCTGTTCACTCTTTGTATTTATTCAGAGTCATATCTGCTGATTTTGTGACTAAAATAAGTGTTTACTGCTGTTTATTCCTATTAGCTTTCACAGCTAAGGTGGAGTCATTTGAATTCTATTTCTTCTTGTCTATCATAGCCAAGATTGGTTACTGTGATAATCAGTTACATCTGAAGACAATGGGGAGCCACTAAAGCCCTAAAAGGGTAAAAAGGGGGTCACTAAAGTCCTAATTTGGCATGCAAAACCCTTATTACTGGTGATGAGCCATGAGATTGGGGGCGTGGGGAAGAGCTTGGTTTTCAGATAATTTCCATTGGTTTCCATTTCATGGAACTCAATCAATTCTTGATCAGGCCCTAAAAGCTTGGGTCCATGGTAATGTAATAGGACGCAGTCCTGTAAGTTTCTATACGACTTGAAGCAAAGGAGCTCATCAGTTCAGGGGGGGACTTATTAGTCAGTTATAGTTGATATAGCCATACTTAGAATATTAATGAATAATAATAGAACTCCACGAATCAGAGTGTAAACAGAGCATTTTTATTCACAAAAATATTTACAAATCATAATTTGTTTTTAATTATTTGACCATTTCTAGTAATATAGGAATACTTGTTTCTTGAGCTGGTCTAATGGTGCAAATAATACATACAACATATTTGCAATTATGGTCCAAAATAAAAGCACCAAGTATGATTTGCTTTGATTCATGATGTTATATTTTTATTTGGACAACTGCTGTGTATTAAAGAAAATGATCATGAAGCCTGAATTTTAGCATGAATGACTCCTTCATAATGAATTTTCAGAAATGGATTATTCTGTTAATTAATAAGTTTCTATCAGCCAGTCAGGGAACAATAACAACACCATGGGACTTAGATGATGCGGCCGCACAACACAAATAAGAAATAGTGATAAGCAAACTCAAACTGTTCATGAACAGCCAATAGTTTGAAAATTATTCATCCAAACTATTTGGCGGATAGTTGCGAATAAAGAATATTTTAAGTACACAAATAATGTAATCAGAATTAGTTTGCAAATCATCCTCTAACAAGCAAAAGGACTACATTGAGAACAAATATTATTGAGAACAAATAGTTCCACTTTTTACCAGATTATAATTTGTGTGTTTCTGATAAGACAGAAAAAAAGTACAAGAAAATATGCATTTCTGAGTATAACAAATATATCAAAATTATGGGCTCACTTTTTTATAAGTGAGTGTTAGAAACACATTATTTAATTTTTTTGCTATTTGACGTTGTGCTATTTTGTTTTGTCTTACAGCTGCGGATCTTCAAATTGTCAAAGTCATGGCAAGCCTTAAATAAACTTGTGAAAATCATGTGTCAGTCAGTTGGTGCCTTTGGTAGTCTCGAACTGGTTTTGGGTATCACTGTATTTATTTTTGCTGTAGTAGGAATGCAGGTTTTTGGAAACTATTACTCCAACAGCACTAAAATAAGCACAGACTGCAATTTACGCTGGCATATGATTGATTTCTTCCATTCATTCCTTATCATATTCCGAATTCTATGTGGAGAATGGATTGAAACCTTGTGGGGCTGCATGGAAGTAGCTGGGAAAGAGCTGTGTCTTCCTTTTTTCTTGCTGGTCCTGGTGGTAGGAAACCTAGTGGTAAGTTTCCAAATATTGTTCTGTTTGTATTGCTCATATGTAGGGACCTACCAAATTCACGGCCCTTTCTGGTCAATTTCACGGCCAGAGGGTTTTTTAATTGGTCTGTTTCATGATTTCCAATGTTTACATCTGAAATTTCACTGCATTGTAACCATGGGGGCTCCTGACCCAAAATGGGATTGGGTGGTGGTGGTTCAGAGTTGTTGTGAGGAGGTCCCAAGATTGCCACCCTCACTTCTGTGCTGCTCAGGGCTGGGCTAGAGGAGGTTCCTGGAGCCCCTGGAGAAGCAGGGGGTGGAAACCCCAACTGCAGCCGCTGGGAGCAGAAGTCCTCAGTCCCCACAGGAGCCACTGGGGAAGAAAACTCCAAGGTCTGCTCCCGGATTCCCAGCAGGAGCTGCAGGTTGGGGGGAGTGGAAGTCCAGAGCCCAGCTCCCGGGCTGCTGCAACACAGAAGTGAGGTTGTACCACCCTAATTTCTATTCTGCCTCTGGAGGTGGGTCTGATCTCCCCACCAAGCGTGGTGTGCCGGGGAAGGACAACTCTTGTCCCTCCCCAGCCTGGCTGGACTAGCAGCTAGGAGTCCCAGGCTCCCAGCAGCATGGGGAAGATCAGATTTCACAGGGAAGGACTGATTTCATGGTCCGTGACTCGATTTTCATGGCTGTGAAATTGGTAGGGCCCTATTCATATGCAAATATACTACCTTGCCATTTTTTCTAGAAAGTGTGAACTTTCCATGAGGCAGATGTGCTCTTTTTTGAATGCATGCCCCACCTTTATTTGCTTATTTTTTATTTTTCGCGTATTAGTGGATATGCCATTTTTTGGGTGTCTTCCTGACTAGAGAGGGTACTGCTGGTCAAACCATTTGGATAGTTCAGTGTTTTACTGTAAACATTATATCACAGAAGCTTTGCCTTCAGTATTTATGCCCATGGCTCCCTTCTCCCTCTCTTCTTTTGCTATGGCAAGGTTAACATACTCTTCAGTGAGTCTTACAATTAATTGCTGTCAGCTCTTGCATCTTTTAGCAGGTTACACTGCCAAGCGTTTCTGATATACTTATTTTTCACCACAACTGATCTATCATATAACTTACTTCCTGTCCCTTCTGTACCTCATGTTGCATACTTTCTCTCTAACTTTTACATATGTTTTTTGTCTTTATGATGTATCGTTAAGTTTCACCTTTTGGGAATCCATCCATGCTCAGCTCATGCATTAGCAAAGTATTCACTAAATAAGATAGTGTAGTAGAAAATGTTTTCTTGTTACCGTGTTGTTATAATAAGGAAACAATATTTGGGGGGCGGGAGGGATTTAAAAAAGGGTTTCCAAGACTGCTTTTTCAATTAAAAAATAGTGTCATCAACTTACTTTTCACTTCAATTGTTTTCAGGTGCTTAACCTGTTCATTGCCTTGCTGCTGAATTCCTGCAATATTGATGATCCAGCAACACCAGATGAAGCTGAAAAGAGGACCAAGCTTCAGCTTGCCTTTTCTCGGATTCACAGGGGTCTGCAGTTTGTGATACACATAACAGGGGATTTGTGTTGCAAAATACTCAGACAAGGGCTGAAAACAATGACCAGCAGGAAGATTATGGTGAAAGTTACCGCACAGAACGTTGGTGGGAATTACCATGCCGCTATAGATATGGGGGAAAATTACACTGATAATGGGATTTACCAAAACAAAGAGGAATCCCCAATGGCAAAGGAGTATGAGGATTTTATGACCAATTCTAACACATTTGTTTGTGTTCCCTTTGCTGAGGCAGAGTGTTACAGTGAGGATTATCATGATGAGAATAGCACATATACCAAAATGGAATATATAGCAATGGTAAGATGCCTAAATGTTTTGATATCTCTTTATACTTCTACTTCTAAGAAATAGTGTCTTGGACTCAACAGTAAATTATAACTTTAACCCATTTTCCCTTCTGTGGTTTCCATATATCTAATTAATTAACGTTCAAGATGGACTTCATTTCCATTCCACCCAAGGACCTCCATTATTCTGAGTCCTAGTCTTGCTAGAGTGAACAATAGGCTTCTGAATATTTTATAAGGGTGAGGAAAGATTCTATCTGAAAATGGAAAGTTGGCAGGATTTAGTTTGTACAGCAGGACTTCGGTGTGGTACATTTCACAATGCCTGTGATATATCCATTCCGGTAGGTGTTTGAAGACGTGCATTTTCTGTCTATGTGAAAAAGGGGTTAGTCATGTGGATATTTGCCTTCTTGGTGGCCCTGCAATAATACAAGCAGACACAACCAGCTTCCTGCTTCCTTGTTCTTCCAGTGGCTTCAGGGGGAAGATGCTGTTGATACTGAGTTGTATTCCATTTTTCCCTTGCTATCCCTAGTTATGTTTCTATCTGTTTTGTCTCCATTTACTCCTGGATGAAAGCCAATCACCTTAAATGAAATTTGACCAAGACAGAAATTACTTCCTTGCTACCTCCTCCTCTGTTCTTACAAATAGGTGGGATTCACAATTTTCTGAGGGAGGCTTTATTTGAATTTCTCTCAGCTATTCAGTTAATAGTGATAGTTCATTGGATTGATAGCCAAAGGAAACTCAAATAAAATCTACACCATGAAAATTAAGCAATTTATTTCTAACTTTTTCCTTCTCTAGCTCAACTTCTGGGATGTTTTTTGGGTACCCATCTCTCATTTTGGGATTTTCTGAGCACCCCCCAGGCCTTTAGTATGTCCCCTGATCTTGTTACCTTATGTCTTCTTTGCATTTTACCAACATTTCCTGTTCCTCTGCATGTCTCTTGCACCTTTTATTTTCCTTCTTTTTCTTTCTTTTTTTATCTGTGGTTCTTTACCCTCGTGTTTTCAATTTTTTCTTTTATTTCCAATGAGTAGTAAAAATTTGTAAAATAATATGGGATTCTACATGGTTACCTACTTTAGGGAAAAATAAAAAGTATCAGTCATTTGAGTACTGCTCTTAATTGCTTGATTACGTATTTCTAACATAAGATACTTAACGTGATTATTTTTCTAAACTATGAGTTCCTCAACTTGTTTTGGGGGTTAGTAGAGGAAGCTGAATTTCCTTATCTCTAGAAAAATATTTATGAGTATCTCAGTGCATTTTGTTCTGTCAAGAAAATTCTGCTTTAGAAATAAGTATGCCACCAAATAAAAATAAAGAAAATAATCCCATCTTGGATTATTTCCAGCAGGAAAACCAACTAAAGCACTGGACAGAGAAACGGAAAAGCTCAGGGGTCTTAAGTCAGGCCTCTGGAACTTCTGATACCATAAATATGTTTTCCACCAGTACACAGAAGGAAAAACAAACAGCGGTAATGGTAATAACTTTATTATCTATTATAAAGGCTCTAGATATAACAATTGTTTTATTTGTCCCATTATTACTGTGCTGAGGAATGAAGTGGTTTCCTAGAGGTAATAAGTTTATGCAATGCAAAAAACAATACAGTTCTCTAATGATAAGACAGACATAATAGTTCTTTCAGAATGTGGAGATTGCTGTCCAAACTGAAAAGACATTTTGTATTTCCAATAAACAGCTAAGGTTATTAATATATAACAACATACAGTACTATACCAAATAAATGCAAAGGAAATAATCTAGGATCAATGCCAAATTTTAAGGGCTATTTTTAAAAAGGTATCCTTTATCTGATATTCAGTTTTGTGCAAAATTATTGGCACGTTTAGTTGTGGATCCTCAAACCCTGTACCTGTAATTTCTAAATTGCAGTTGATTCCATCCATGACTGTCAAGAAGTATGTCTCCATTCTAGGCAATATAGAAAATCAAATGGAAGTTCAGATAGGTCTATGGACTCCCTACCTTCAAAAGTGCACATAACTCTAACAATAGTATTTTTGAAACCACTCTGCAGGGATAGTTACTTGAAGTCCTGATATTGAAAAATAAGCTCTCTCGGTATGATCACCCAGACCAACTTATCCTTGCTTGTCTTGACTAATTAATCTTCAAACAACATGTCACACATATCCTAGTATATAAGAAGTTACGATTTTGAGGTGGTCTTTAAGACCTGTTAGACCTGAGAGAGATTATTTGCTATGGTGGTAACATTTCCTTATATGGGTCAGGGGAAGGACATCTGCCCTAATTGAAATATGTAAAGTCACAGAAATCCTAAATATCTATTTTCTATTTAGAAAAAAAGAACGTTGTTTAATGTATTGGTAAAATCTTTAGGCAATGGTTCTCAAATAAGAATGATTTTGTTTGTAGTTATAAACCACTGGGGTGGTGAAGTTAATGACTATTGACAGTCTTATGCCCCAGTTGTAAATGAAGCCATGCGACCATTCTTTACCCTCTTCCATAGTATCTCTGAAATCACAGCCAGTGGAACTTTTTTGAACAGTGAGCTGATTAACCTAACTCAGATTGCCTTCACCCAACCTCCTAAGAGCTCTCAACCTACTTTAACAATGAGATTGTTCAAATCCATGACGATTTCACCAGGACCATGTAAATTAAGCTGGAGCAAAGAGAGAGGATTATTCTACCTTCCCTGTTGGAGTTTAGCCCACTAACACAAATACAGTTTGTAGGAGCTCTAAAGGATATCCAAGTTCCTTTATGTGAAAGAAGACTCTGTCCCTCTTGATTGCCGGAGGCCAGTGATGAGCATGTGACCCACTACTGACAGATCATCACACTCCATCTTAGGGAAGGTGAAATACTAACCACCCACAAGCATTTCTGAACAAGCTGTTGAGACAGATATGGAGAAATAAATAAAACACACACTTCCTGGAGAATAAGGAAAGTGTAAGCAGGGGAATGGTACCGCTATTGTGGGGAACTTTCCTGACTTCTGCACTATCCTGGTGAAATGGGCTAGTGGAAGGATTTTTTTATTTTTATTAATAGAGGTATCCTATCTCCTAGAGCTAGAAGGGACCTTGAAAGGTCATCGAGTCCAGCCCCCTGCCTTCACTAGCAGGACCAAGTATTGATTTTTGCCCTAGATCCCTAAGTGGCCCCTTCAAGGATTGAGCTCACAACCCTGGGTTTAGCAAGCCAATGCTCAAACCACTGAGTTATCCCTCCTCCCCTGAGTCCTCATTCCCACTTCCTTTACCCAGAGGCCTCCCTGCCCTCGAGGACTCCCCTTGCTCTCTCCTGTCTGGCAGAGTCCTCGTAACCCCAACAAGGCTGGGCCCAAGATTCCTGGGGGGGTGTTGGACCCCCAGCCTTGCTGTGGTCACGTAGGTCTGGGGCTAGGGTGTCCCCACTCCGGGGTACTCTCTCTGCACTGGATGCTTTCCTGACCCACTGATCATTACATACGATTTAAAGCAATACAGTTTATTTAATTAACAATTAGTTTAAAAAGGAATAAGGAAAAATGGGAAAGGTTAAAGGAAACACATCACCCCGCTCTGTGGCAGGGAACATCACAAACAGTGTCTCTGGAACGTCAGGGCAGTTCACAGTCTGTTCCTTGTAGGTCCCCGGCCTCCTTCTCAGGCCCTGGCTGTGCTGCAGGGCTGCTGTGGGTCAGACACTTGCTCTGGCGGTGGCCACACGCTCTCAGGCTCTAGGTGGCAGGGCTCTTCCTCCTAGCGTCCCCCCCTGCCCCCGCCCTGTCAGGGTTACACTCCCCCTCCAAGTCTGGCCTGCAGGGCCTCTTGGCTGAGGCGTCTCCCTGTGCTGGGCCCACTGCCCAGGGTCCCCTTCGCTCTCCCCAGCTGTTCACCATATGGACTGCTCCGTTCTGCCTCAGCATGGCTGCTGCTGCTGCTCTGCCTCCAGCTCCCTGGGCTGCTTCTCTGGCCCCTCTGGCTCTGGTTGCTACAGCTCTGCTCCCAGGACAGGTCTGCTCTGCAGGCTGCTTCTGTGACTCGGCTCCCAGCTCTGACCTGCTCCCTGGGCTGCTTGTCTAGCCCCTCTGGCTCTAGTTGCTGCAGCTCTGCCCCCCAGGACAGCTCTGCTCTCTCTGGGCTGTGCTCTGGCTTTGGGGCTGCAGCTCTGCTCCCAGCAGCTTAGCTTGGGCCCCTGCTCTCTCCTTAGCTCAGCCCCACTCTGTCTGACCCAGGCAATTCCAGCTCACACGGAGGACGGAGGACGGGACCCCTGGCCTCCTGACTCCTTGATTGCCTGCCCATCCTGTCAATCAGGCTGACCTGGAGCATTGGCCTCTCCCCATTGCCCCTGGGGACTGTCCGTCGCAGGTCCTGATTTCCCATCGACCCTTCCCCTTTTGGTACTGGGAGCTAGCAACCAAAACACCCCACTGAATGTTAGTATGGGGATAATAGTCCCCTTACAAAAGGAAGGAAACTACAGCTTGTAGACCACGCAGCGGTCCACTATCTAAGAAACAAAGGCAGATGAGAAGCATCATACCAGAGTACTATGCGTTCCATTGTCTCATCATCCAAATTAAAGAACCCGGTTCTGCTATATAAGGGCTTGGCTATCTTAGAAAACTCACATCTCTATCCACAGGAAGACAACTATGCTCAGTCAGAACCTTGTGAACACTCAGCCCATTGTGGAAGTGGTGGAAGTGGGGGGCAGGGCATTCTTAGCAAAGGACTCTTGACTGTGGAAGTCCATTCTAAAGGAAATCTAATGATTTTACCTAGCACATAATATAATACCCACCTTATCTTCTAAGTCTTCCCCTCAATTACAAGGGTTGGGCAGGTGACAAGGAAGAGGAAAAACAAGCAAGAGAAGGACATCTATTTTTAAACATACCTTAAGTAATAGCCGCTGAACCAAAGAATACAGAAGAGAGTTTCCTTGTTCTATTGTTATGTCATTCTTAATTATGTCTTGGCAGTTCGGTACCATTGTGATAGGGGCCTTTGAAATAGCTGGATAAATCACTTGTTTTCTTGATATTTTCTTCTGTTACGTCCAGTTTATTTTAGGGTAATGCAGCTGCTTTAAGGGAAAATTCATAAATTGCCTTCCTCATTTGTTCTACTGTTGTGCAGGAATTGGCGGGGATCATCCAATCGACTGAAAAGTTAGATGCACCTAAGGACTGTTTTACAGAAGGTAAGAATCTGCTTGCTTCATAGTGATATGAAGTGTGACTAATATTCCAGAGGCATTGCTTTAGAAAATGTTTTCATATTAGCTATGAGGCATTCTGACGACCCATGTTTGTGTTTCTCTGAGTCACTTCTTTATACAGATAATTCTCAGAACACATGTAAAACGCAGAAGACACTTGTTAACGTGACTTGGTGAATTGTTGCCTGTTGTCAAACTAAGACACCTAAACCACTGCACTGTTATTACCTTGATAGCCTTCTGCACTCTATTGCTTACATTAACAAGCTATTTCTTGACCTGCTTAATTGATTTTTCTGTTTTGCCAAGATGTAAAAAGGCTTCGAGATTGGGACGGAACTCTTGGACCTGTTTATCAGATAATATGTAAATGTTGTGATGGACCCAGGGCTTTTTCAGAGGTAGTACAAGAATAACCTAGGAGGGCTGTAGTTTCTTGGCCGCCTTCAGACTTCCTTCTATTCTCTTCAAATCCAGAAGCCTTCCTAGTTGACATCGATCCCTCTTCTTTCCATAGCCCTCTGTGTAATGCTGACCTCACCTGAACTTCTTTGGTTCTGCTGATACCTCCAAAATTAAATGGTGCTCTCAGGCCTCTTCTCAGAAGCACTACAGGGATTCCCCTCCTTCACCTAAGAAAGGCATTTCTTCCTGCCAACAAACACTTCTACATCCTATCCCTGTCGTCCCCAGAACCCATTGAATCCAAACTTCCCAGTCGATATCTTCTGAATGACGCATACAATTATACAAAAATAGGACTCCTTCTCTCAATTCACTAGATCCTTTATTGTGTCTTTGAGTGTAGGGATATGTATTATATAGTAGGATAAACATAATAATTATAACATCATGACATTTAGCTATGTATTAAACCATGAAAAACCAACCTGTATATCTCTCTTGCCTTTTGTTCTCCCTTCCCTCACTTTTTCTCTCGTTCAACGGTATATCTTGGTGCATTTTTTTCTGTGTTACTGCCTCTGTCCTTTTCTTTCTTGCCCTGTGTTCCGTTCTCCTACTTTGAGCTGCTGATGTTTGAAGCAGTAGCGGCTTGTTGTGTTCAGTAAGGGCTCCTGCTGCTATTCTTGCCCCTTTCTGAGGATGCAGAAAATAGATTGAGAATGGATACAGGCTATCCTGTGCTTTTTCTTTTCAGGCTGTGTCCAATGCTCCTTATGCTGTGCAGTGGATATCACAAAGTTTCCAGGAAGTACTTGGTGGCGATTTAGGAAAACCTGCTACCGAATTGTTCAGCATAGCTGGTTTGAAACTTTTATCATATTCATAATTCTCCTGAGCAGTGCAACTCTGGTAAATTTAACTTACTCTCTTATAAGATTTGACTTGAGGGGTGTATGTAGTGCCCAGGGGTCCCCAAATCTGAGGCAGCCTGCATAGCGGAGCTGTCCTAGAGCTACAAATTCTAGAAGCTTCGGCTCCCCAGCTGCCAGCCAGGGGAGCTAAAGGCAGGGTTCTGCTGGGAGTTCACAGAACAAGAAATGCTTCTGCAAACATTTGTGTTTGACAAATCAGCATTTTCCAGTGAAACCCTGTTTCATCAGAAAATTCCTGACAGCTCTACTCACTAACTCCATGAGAACTTTGGGTGTCCCAGTTTTTGAGAGACCAACATGGAAAACCGTGGGACCTGATTTCCACAACAGCAGCTGGACTCAGTGCGAGCTGCAGGCACTCAACATATCTGATTTTCAACATTTCTGAAAATCAGGCCATAGCTGCCTTAAGATAGGCCCCCAATATTTCAGGTACAAAAAATAGAAAGCACTTTTTAAAATGTAGACTTTAACTTTAAACAAAATGTAGATTGTTTGCTCATTCTTGTGGCACATTAATAAGTCAAACAACGAGTACTATATTTTAGCAGAATTTTAAAATAATCCATTATAAAACTACAGAACTGTTTTACTTTTAAATTCTCAAATTCCAGGCATTTGAAGATATTTACCTTAAGGAATATGCAACCATTCAAAACCTTCTGAAGCTTGCCGATATAATATTTGCTTACATCTTTTTACTGGAGATGTTTCTGAAATGGGTGGCTTACGGTTTCCAGGAGTATTTCACAAATTTCTGGTGTTTGCTTGATTTCTTTATTGTATGTGTAAGTATTACTTTTAACCTGTTTTATTCAGTGTGCTGAATTATGTAGCCACATAGAAAGCCCCTGTAAAATGAGATTAGGCACACATACAAGTGTGAGGGCCAATTTCCCAAAGCTGAAACTAATTCTGAGCAAAATTGTGGGGAAAAATTTGAATAGAAAATTGTGAACAATAATTGGGAGTTGTTTAAGAACATTTTACTAGATGCCCCAAAAGTCACAATCCCACAATCACTCAAGGCAACATTGATTTAAAAAACCATCCTGGTTTAGAGGGAAGATGAAGCAGTAATAAAAGTGAAAAGATAGTATATACCAAATGAAAAGGGGAAATTGATAGGTGTTAATATAACTTAGGAGCTAAGCAATGCAGACAGTTAATCAGGGAAGCTAAAAGTATAAATGAAAAAAACATGGTCAATAGGATTAAGGAGAATAAGAAGGAATCTTTAAAATATATCAGGAACAAAAGGATATATAACAATGGTATAGGTGTAGATAGAGATGGTGAAATTGTCAACAATGAGGTATAAGAGGCACAAATGTTCAGTAAATATTTCTGCTCTGTATTTGGAAAGAAGCTGAATTATATATTCATGTAACGATTAAATGCTTTTATATTTCAACAGTAATTAAGGAGGATGTTAAAAGCATGTACTAAAAAGTTAAACATTTTTAAACCAACAGGTCCAGATAACTTGCTTCCAAGAGTTTTAAAAGAGTTGGCTCAGAAGCTCTCTGGAACGTTAATATTAACTTTATTTAAATCTTGAAATACTGGGGAAGTTACAGTGGACTATAAAAAAAATCAAATGTGTCAATAATAAAAAAGGATAAACGGGGTGACCTTGGTAATTACAGGTCTATTAGTCTGACATCAGTTGTGAGGAAAATAATATAATAGCTGGTACAAGACTCTGTCAATGAAGAGTTAAAGGATGGAAATATAATTAATGCCAGTCAACTTGGTTTTATTGAACTTAGGTATTGTCAAATGAACTTGATATTATTTTTTTATGAGATTACAAGTTTAGTTGATAAAGATAACTGTTGTAATATGATATATTTGGATTTCTGAAATGCATTTGACTTAGTACCACAAAACGTTCAGATTTAAAATGAGCATAATAAAATATCAGTATACAGCGGACCCTTGCTTGAACACGCGTCTGTATAGCGTGATTTTGCTTATAGCGCGGGACCGCTCACGGATCCCAAATTTAATTAATTACATTGTGATCCATGGTAACGGTAACAAAATATTTATAAACATTTGATCAAGATACTTATAAACATACTAGTGAAAAGATAAGCATTTGATCAAGATACAGCCACGGGTGCTTAGACCCATATTGATTGGCTCCAACATGACCATGCAGCTATTAGCAATGAGCCCTTTAAGAGTTTACTTTTTATACCCTTTAACAAACAAGTGATGTTATTGTCAATTATCAACTTCAGCTAAAAAACAATTTGAGACAAAGAGTCCTGTAGCACCTTATAGACTAACAGACGTATTGGAGCATAAGCTTTCGTGGGTGAATACCCACTTCATCAGATGCATGTAGTAGAAATTTCCAGAGGCAGATATAAATATGCAGGCAAGAATCAGTCTAGAGATAACAAGGTTAGTTCAATCAGGGAGGATGAGGCCCTCTTCTAGCAGTTGAGGTGTGAACACCAAGGGAATAGAAACTGCTTTTGTAGTTGGCTAGCCATTCACAGTCTTTTTTTAATCCTGAGCTGATGGTGTCAAATTTGCAAATGAACTGAAAATTTCCACTACATGCATCTGATGAAGTGGGTATTCACCCACGAAAGCTTATGCTCCAATACGTCGGTTAGTCTATAAGGTGCCACAGGACTCTTTGTCGCTTTTTACAGATCCAGACTAACACGGCTACCCCTCTGAAATTTGAGACTGTTCACCCTTATTTTCAATCTTAATTCAGATAAAATGTACAATCTTCTTTTTACCCAAGGCCTGTCCTCCCTATCTATTACCTTCCTTCTTGCGGACTAACAGCTTTTCCATTGCACCTGGGTTTACATAGGCTCTAGTGTTTGAGACGACAACTGGTATGTACAGTGGGAAGGTCCATGTTGGCTTCTTCTAAGACAGGTTTCCTTTGTTTTAGTTAAAACCATCTGCAGTCACCCCTGTTGCTAAAAGCCTTCTTTTTAGAAATTTCCCCTTATCTCATTCGTTGGACCCAACATTCTCCCTACTTCTTCCCTTTTGGCCTTATAATTCATTTCCAAGGCCTTTCTTTTACTTCTTAGTTAGGGCCTTTCTTTGCAACACAGATTTCTTTAACCAAATTTAAGCTAATTTAATTCTCTAATTTTAAATTTACTCTACAGTTCAGGATTATTATTTGTAGACGAATATGAGAAAGGGTTAGAGCAGGGGTGAGCAAACTGTGGCCCGGGGGCCACATCTGACCCTTCAGTTGTTTTAATCCAGCCCTCAGGCTCCTGCCATGGAGTGTGGTCTGCCCCGCTCCACGTGTGCTGTGGCTCTGCACGGCTCCCGGAAGCAGCAGCATGTCCCCCTCCAGCTCCTAGTCGTAGGGGCAGCCAGGGGG